TGAAGAGACTTAAAGAAATTTAATTTGGCGATTTGGGGGGCCAGGCGGTAGTCCAACTCTAGTGGGAGAACTACGACTGCTCTGGCCCTGCCATCCCCTTTTATTGAGGCTTAACAGCTGCTTCAACTTAACATAATCTCAACTAAAGGTTTAAAGCAATTGAGGTTGTTGACCAGCCTTCCTGGTTCCTGTCAACATCTCTTTCCCAGCTGAAAAAGATTTGGTTTCCAGCAGATCACACCAAGATACATCATAATTAAAATGCCAAGAGCAGCCGAAACCGGATAGAGCGTTGGCTTGGGACTGAAAGGTCCTGGGTTCGATTCCGGTCAAGGGCATGTACCTTGGTTGCAGGCACAACCCCAGTGGGGGGTGTGCAGGAGGCAGCTGATTGATGATTCTCTCTCATCAATGTTTCTAACTTTCCCTCTCTCTTCCTCTCTGTAAAAAATCAATAACATATATTAAAAAAATTATGAACAACAAATATTTAACTATCAACATATGAATCTAAAAGTCAAGTGAATAAAAAATCTGAGAAACAGAATAAACTGGTGAATATAATAGAATCAGGGCCATAGAATGGGAGGAGATTGATAATTCTCAGGGGGAAAAGGGTGTCTGTGTGGGGGATACGGGAAGAGACTGGACAAAAATCATACACCTATGGATGAGGACAATGAGGGGGAGGTAAATGCAGAGGGTGGGGTGGGGATCGGGTGGAGGGGAGCTATAGGGGGAAAAAAGGAGAAACAATTGTAATAATCTGAACAATAAAGATTTATTAAATAAAAAAAGAAAAAGGAATACAAAAAATATGAAGATAGTGTAAGGAGCCTCTGGGACAACTTCAAGCATGCCAACATCAGAATTATGGGGGTGCCAGAAGAAGAGAGAGAGCAAGACACTGAAAACCTATTTGAAGAAATAGTGACTGAAAACTTCCCCCACCTGGTGAAAGAAATAGACTTACAAGTCCAGGAACCACACAGAACCCCAAACAAAAGGAATCCAAAGAGGATCACACCAAGACACATCATAATTAAAATGCCAAGGGCAAAAGACAAAGAGAAAATCTTACAAGCAGCAAGAGAAAAACATTTAGTTATTACAAGGGAACACTCAACTGATTTCTCAACAGAAACTATGCTGGCCAGATGGGAGTGGCAAGAAATATTTAAAGTGATAAATAGCAAGAACCTACAACCAAGATTACTCTACCCAGCAAAGCTATCATTCAGAACTGAAGGGCAGATAAAGAGCTTCACAGTTCAGAAAAAGCTAAAGAAGTTCATCACCACCAAACCAGTATTACATGAAATGCTGAAAGGTATTCATTAAGAAGAGGGAGAAGAAGAAAAAGGTAAATATAAAAACAATGAACAGCAAATACATATCTATCAACAAGTGAATCTAACAATCAAGTGCTTAAAAAATCTGAACAGAATAAACTGGTGAATATAATAGGTCAGGGGCATAGAAAGAAAGTAGACTGACAATTTTAGGGGAGAAGGGGTGTATGTGGGGGGGTGTGGGAAGAGACTAGACCAAAATTATATATCTATGTATGAGGACAGTGGCGGGGGGAGAGGGGATAAGGACAGAGGGTGTAGTGGAAATCGGGTGCTGGGGAGCTATAAGGGGAAAAAAGAGGAACAATTGTAATAATCTTAACAATAAAGATTTATTTTTTTTAAAAAAAGAATCATTGCTCTGCTGCGGGGATCAAGCCTTCAACCCGGGTATTGTGCCCTTGCCTGGAATCGAACCTGGAACCCTTCAGTCTGCAGACCAGTGCTCTACCCACTGAGAAAAACTGGCTGGGCACTTTTTCTCCCCACTTATTATACCTGTTTTCAGGAAAGACAGGGTCTGTGTTGTTCTCTTTTATCTTATTACTAGTAGCCTGGTGCATAAAATTCGTGCATGGAGAGGGGTTCCCTCAGTCCAGCCTGCATCCATTCCAATCAGGGACCCCTTGGGGGATGTCAGACTGCCATTTTAGGCTCAATCTCTGCGGATTGAAACTGGCAGTTGGACACCCCTCTTGCAATCTGGGACCACTGGCTCCTAACCACTCACCTACCTGTCTGACTGATCACCCCTAACTGCTTCTGCCTGCCTACCTGATTGCCCCTAATTCCTCTGCCTGCCTGCCTGATCACCCCTAACTACACTCCCCTGCCAGCCTGATCTTGCCCTCAACTGCTCTCCCCTGCAGGCCTGATCTTGCCTCCAACTGTCCACCTCTGCTGGCCAATTTGGTTCTGATTGGTCAGTTTCTATGCCAGTCAGTGTCATTGGACCTATCAATGGGGCCTGTCTATTTTTTAAGTGAATCTCCTCTAATAGTCTCATGGTCTGTAGATTGAGATAAATGAACGTGCTCAAAGCCATGAGCTGGACAAAGCTGTGCCATGGGGTCCGGAGTCTCCCCTGCACTGGCTCTAACATCCAGGGTTAGAGCTGCACCATCAGTGGTGGACCCAGCTGGGCATCTCTTTCTGAGAAACACTGCCCCCTAGTGGCCAATGATGAAAAACTTATGATAAAAATTACTTTAAGAAATTACTTAAAAAAAAAAAAGTTCTGATAAAAATTACTTAATAATAATAATAAAAAAGCAGCAACCTCTTCAGCTTGGTGGAATGTGGATGGCTTAGAGGACGGCCACGGACAACAGGAGGAGGAGAGCAGGGGTGTCTGGTCCCTCAGTGCCGTCTTAGAATTCCCAAGAAGTGTGTTGCCTCCTCCCACTCCCCTTACAGTAATGGGGCTCATTGGGTCAAGTCACAGAGCCTTAAAGAGTCCAAACCTGTAAGAAATCTTAAAAAATATATTTTATTGATTTTTTTTTTTCAAAGAGGAAGGGAGAGGGATAGAGAGTTAGAAACATCAATGAGAATGAAACATTGATCAGCTACCTCCTTCACACCCCCTACTGGGGATGTGCCCACAACCAAGGTACATGCCCTTGACTGGAATGGAACCTGGGACCCTTCAGTCTGCAGGCTGACTCTCTATCCACTGAGCCAAACTGATTAGGGCCAGACCTGTAGACATTTTTATGAGCTTATTTGCTACAAACTGACCACAATCATCTGGAATCAAAATCTATGGGTTGAGAAAATGCTCTAGAGAATGGCAGTTTTGCCCCTTGTTTTGTACATTACAATAAAGAAAGGCATAAGTGGGTTACATGAACTCTATCAGTGATGGATTCGGGGGCAGGAGAAAGCAAAGGGGGGGAATCTCTGGGATTGGATAAGAAGTAAAATGAAGCCTGGCCAGCGTGGCTCAGTGGTTGAGCGTTGACCTATGAACCAGGAGGTGACGGATTGATTCCCAGTCAGGGCACATGCCTGGATTGAGGGCTCAATCCCCAGTTGGGGGCGTGCAGGCAGCAGCTGCTCAATGGCTCTCTCTCATCATTGATTTCTATATTGCCCTTTCCCTCCTCTCTGAAGAAAATTAAAAAAATATATATATTTAAAACAAAAAAGGAAAATGAAAAGACACAGAAAAGAAAAAATAAACAAAGAAAGAAGAAAAATAAGAATAGGTGTTTGTGAGTATAGGAGAGCTAACAGTTCCCAGTGAACATGCTAACAGTAACAATGAGAGGTGCTGTGGTCTGCTCTGGTGGGAGCTGCACCGAGGGATCTGGAGAAGGGGACCACGCCACAGGTGTTAGCTGCGGTAGATGCAGAAAGATAATAGGCAGGCTCGGGATTGGCCTTTGTCGAGGAAGATGCAGGCCTAGGACATGACTGCTCCCAGGACTCACTTTCAGCTGGGAAGTTGTGACAGTAGGCGTCCTGTGTGGTTCCCAGAGCCTGTCAGGGTTAGTATGTGGCCCCTTTTGCCCCCGATGTAAGAGCAATTGATTCCCGAGCGTTGTATTCTAAGAAGAGGACATTGTATTCTAAGAAGAGGACTTTGAGCCCTGACTGGTTTGGCTCAGTGGATAGGCAGGTGTCCTCAAACTTTTTAAAGTGGGGGCCAGATCACGGTCCCTCAGAGAGCTGGAGGGCCGGACTATATGAACTACTAATTCCTACTGTAACACCTCGGCTGCGCTCACTGCCCAAAAGACCTGGCGGGCCAGATCAGACTCCTCTGCGGGCCGCATGTGGCCCGCGGGCCGTAGTTTGAAGACCCCTGATAGAGCTTTGGCCTGTGGACTGCAGGGTCCCAGGTTCCATTCCAGTCAAGGGCGTGTGCCTTGGCTGCGGGCAAATCATCAGTAGGGGGTGTGCAGGAGGCAGCTGATGGATGACTCTCATCAATGTTTCTAACTCTCTTTCCTTCTCCCTTCATCTCTGTAAAAAAAATCAATAAAATATATTTAAAAATATATTTAAAAAAATAAAAAGAGGACTTTGAGATGCTGAGGGAGACTTCCCTCGCCTGGAGCATAGAGATGCTTCTTTCAGACACAGAGAAGGAAAACGGTTGCCAGAAGGAGACATGGAGGAAAGAACCCTGGGGAGTCTGCGTTTAAATTCTGCTGCTTCTGTGACACTGTGACTTGGGCTGTTTCTCTTTTTGGAGGCTCCTCTGTAGAATGAGGCAAATCACAGTCATTCTTATCAGATAGGAGAGTCCTGAAGATTAGGAGAGAATGCAAGCGGCCAGTTTGACTCAGTTGGTTGAGTGTCGTCCCATACACTGAGAGGTCCAGGTTCGATTCCTGGTCAGGGCACATACCTGGGTTGTGGGCTCCATCCCCAGTAGGGGGTGTGCAGGAGGCAGCCAGTGATGTTGCTCTCTCTCTCCCCTTCCCTTCTCCTTTCTCTAAAATCAAACATATTTTCCAAAAAAGCAGCAACTGCCTTAAAGAGAGGGACTAGCATTCGGTTGTGTGACTCCCTCCTAAGCAGGGCTCTTTCAGCGGACACTGAACGCCTCTCTCTGGGCAGGGATGAGGTAACTCCCACCCTAGGGGTGTACTAGATCTATTGATGCCTCTGAAATGATTTCATTTCTCCTCTCATTAGTCTTCCGCTGCCACATCACAAGAAACTGCAACTACTCTGTATTCAGTGGTCCTGCCCTCGGGGAAGGTGAGTTCCACCTCAGGGTGCGGGGCAGGGGTGTGCTCTGCATGCGCAGTGCAGGGCGGGGCTTGCACTTCTGAGTGACTTAACTTCCACTGCGTGTATCCAAGTGACTTGTGTTAAATGACTATTGAAAAGTGAATGGGCGAGTGCTTTTCTAGTTCTGTTTGGAGAAAAACAACAGCTCTGGGAGAAGAGTATATTAAAGGTGTTTCCAGAAGTTTCTATGGAAGGTAGAGGACAGTCCGAGAGGAAGTGCTTGGTGCAGAGACCACAGGATCCTGGTAAGCCAGCTGAGGCTGTGGTGAGAGGAGAGATTTCCGATGCATGGGCATGCGCACTGAGCGGCAGGACCGCACTGGACCTGGAGAGACACAGTATTGACCTCAGGGAACCAGACAAAGTTTGGCCAGTCACCTCAGGGTGGAGGCCTGGGACTGAGGCAACCCATTGGAGTCCTCTCTAATCTTGATCCAAGGGGGGCTCATAGCCCATATGTGTACCTGGACCCACAGAGCTGGGTGTCCTGGGCCCGTTGTCATCCTTTCATCTCAGGTGGAAGGGGTGGGAAGAATGATACTCCCAAGGCTGGACTCAGTGCAGACCATAAGCTGAACTTGGTGATGAGCGGGGGGAGCCTGGTGGATGTGAAGGACAGCATTCAAGCAGGTCAGCGATTGTGTGTTTGTATAAAAAGGGGAGAAGGTTAGAATACATTTTCAGACTTTTAATCCACCCCCTTCCAATAAGTCATTCAATCAACTTGGATTCTACCAAGAGGGATTGATATTTAAATTATATGCTACACACATGGCCGACATGGCCACAGCCCCTGGCCGCAGCTTTGGTTTTATATCTGAAGACTTTGCTGACTACCGAGAGCTCCTGAGCGCCACTGGGTGAGTGTGTGTGCCAGGCATTGAACAGATACACAGGGGAAGCCGTGTTTGTATTAGGTTTGTCTGAAGGCTGTGTGTGTGTGTGTGTGTGTGTGTGTGTGTGTGTGTGGTCTGAGGGGTACATGGCTGTGGTATGTTAAACTGATTTTGGTTCGGAAATATCATATCATAGGAAAGTATGTGTTAACACCTTCTGGAAACCAAAAACACCATTGTTTACTCCTGGGGTAGGAGACTGTATTCACATTTGGTTGGGGACACTTCAAGGATTCTCTGGGCACTGAGTCTTTTTTGGGACCTCTCACACCAGTTCAGAGTGGGGCATTTCTTCACTGGAAGTTAAGAACTCTTTACCCTCTGAATTTCAGTCTGGATCTAAGAAGAGGAGCCACAGCCCTTCCATCTATGAAGGGGTAAGATTCTGAATGGGCTTAGTGCCTGTAGCATATCTGGGAAGTCATCCACAGAGTCTCAGATCTGTAGGGATTTCAGGTAGATTCTAATCCAAAGCCTCATTTAGAGGTGAAGAAACAGGCCCAAGCAGAGTGAGGGTCTCACACAAGGTCATGTCACGCGTTGGGGTTTGACTCTTTCTAGGGAGATTGAGTTTCAAATTAGGGCCATCTCCATGCTATTTCCCCAGCTGTGAATCCTACAATGGATACCTCTCCCTTCCAAGTGTGTTTGTGAGGGTGGGGAGATCAGAGAAGGGAGGATTAGTAAGTCTGAATGATTTTTAAGGTTAGGGAGTCATTCCAGAATACAGGTGATCTTCAGCTGCTTCTAGGGTGAAGACTGAACAAAGGCGCCCCTGAGCATGGACCACCTAGGGAATGGGAAGCAGGGTCTCAACACTTATTGAGGGTGGGATGCTGCAGGTGTCCTGCCAGTGGCTTCATCTGAATAGCTCATTTAATCCCCACAGAATGTGTAAAGTAGGTATAATTCTCCCTCCCATTTGTACCCATAGAAAGTAGGGCATGGAGAGCACCTCCACTCATTCCCCAATAGCCTCCTACTGCACCCAAATTTCCACCTGTGGCCCAACAATATTGTTGCCGTTGGTCCCAAGGGAGGGGACTATGGGTGCCTGCTGTGCTGCTCGGCATTGTGACAGCAGCTCCACATATAAAGCCACCTGAACAGTCCAGAGTCGCAGAGGACACTGTGTGGCCCCAGGCAATGGGGATGGGGTGGGGGTCAAGAGGAAGCATGGTGTGGTTATAAACACTAGACTTGGAGCCAAAAGAATTGGATTCAAGCTCCTCCTGGACTTCAGTCAGTTATTCTGAGCTTAATTTTATTAATCTGGAAAATGGGGTTAACAATTCAGACCCCACAGGGTTGTTATGGGGATCTCCTAGTGGGAGTGTCTGAACTTCATTTCTTCTGCAGGTTGGAAAGACACAACCCAGAGCTCAACACCCTGCTTGACTCAACACCTGGAGCTGAAGAACTTTTCTGGGTAATCCCAGGGGCCACTCCAGTCTCCCCTCTGTTAAGCCCCAGCATCTGTTTTGGGAATCAGTGCAATGGTTTACATAATAGTTCCTAGTCTGGGAGTTTGTTGATGGACTATATTTTGTTTTGAAAATGATTTTTTAACAGCCATTAAAATAGCAAGGCATCTGCACCAAGGGGTTGAGGGCTTGATCCCTAGTGGGATGCTGTAGGAGGCAGCCAATTGGTGTTTAGCTCTCCCATTGATGTTTCTCCCACTCTCTAAAAAAAGAAAGAAAGAAAGAAAGAAAAGAAAGAAAAAAGAACAAGGATGTTGCCTTGACTAGGTAGTTCAGTTAGTTAGACCCTTATCCCAATACCTAAGGTTGAGGGTTTGATCCCCAGTCAGGACATATACAAGGATCAACCAATGAATATATACATAAGTGGAACAACACATGGATATTTCTCTCTCCCTCTCACTTTCAAATTAAAAAAAAGAAATGAACAAGTCTTTCAACTTACAGACTGGATAAGATTGGGTAGTTCACAAAAGATCACACAGCAAGTCCAGGTATTGGAAATCTAAGTTCTATGTAAATATAGCATGTGCCATGAATGGTTTGGCTCAGTGGATAGAGTGTCGGCCTATGAACTGAAGGGTCCCAGGTTTGATACCGGTCAAAGGCATGTACCTGGGTTGTGGATACATCCCCAGTAGGGGTGTGCAGGAGGCAGCTGATTGATGTTTCTCATCGATGTTTCCCAACTCTCTATTCCTCTCCCTTTCTCTCTGTAAAAAAAAAATAAAAAATCAATAAAATATATTTAAAAAAATGTAGGGTGTTCTTGCCTTATTCAACATAGCACTGGAAGTTCTAGCCACAGTGATCAGACAAGAAGAAATGAAAGGCATCCAAATCAGAAAGGAGGAAGTAAAACTCTCATTATTTGCAGGCAACATGACACTGTACATAGGAAACCCTAAAAACCCCACCAATAAACTACTAGATTTAATAAATGAATTTGGCAATATAGCAGGATACAAAATCAACACTAAAAAAATCAATGGCTTTTTTATACACTAATAATGAATTATCAGAAAAAGAAAATAAACAATCTCAGTTTCCATTACAACAAAAAATAAGATACTTAGGAATAAACTTAACTAAGGAGATAAAAGACTTGTACTCAAAAACTATAGTTCTAGAGCACATGTGTCAAACACAAGGCCCACGGGCCAAATCCGTCCTGCCAGGCCTTGCAATGTGGCCCGCACCGCGCTGTCATCACTGCACTCCGCTGCGTTTCCATCACAATGACAGTTTATGACTGTTCAGTAAACCATTCGGCCCATGATTTAGGCTGGATTTTAGATTTTGGCCCCTTCTCTGATTGAGTTCGACACCCCTATTCTAGAGGGTGACAAAACAAGGGGGAGAATATACTGTGTTCATGGACTGGTAGAATCAACATCATTAAAATATCTATACTAAGCCGGGACCGGTTTGGCTCAATGGATAGAGCGTCGGCTTGGGGACTGAAGGGTCCCGGGTTCGATTCTGGTCAAGGGCATGTACCTTGGTTGTGGGCATATCCCCAGTAGGGGGTGTGCAAGAGGCAGCTGATCGATGACTCTCTCTCATCGATGTTTCTAACTCTCTATCTCTCTCCCTTCCTCTCTGTATAAAATCAATAAAATATATTAAAAAAAATCTATACTAAGAGATAAAAAATGGTGGCAGAGTAAGTGGATGCTACATAGACACCTTCCCAGGACCAAACTGGAGTTACAACTAAAATACAAAATATTTCCTGAATAATCAACAGAACAATCACTGGAGAGGACCCTGATAACCAAATGAAAAATTTTATAATTACTAAATTTTTTATGAGTGTTTTTAAAATAAGAATCATCTGTTCATGGATGATTGCTTGTGTGTACTCCTTTGCTTTCTTTCTTTCTAGTTTCTTATTGGCACAACCTTTATTTGGCTATTTCTAATGTTTTTACTGTTGATGTTTTAATTCTTGTAAATATGGGCAATTCTTAGGTAGAAGATAAAACACCTCTAACAACAGCCACCCAAATTCTGGTGAGTAACTTCTAAATTTTAAAAATTAAAGAGATATAGGCACATGTTTATTAAAAAATTAAAGTTGCTTCCACATTTTAGTTATTGTGAATAGTGCTGCTATGAACATAGGCATACAGATATCTCTTTGAGACCCTGCTCTCAATTATTTTGGGTATATACCAGAAATGGAATTGCTAGGTCGTGTATATATATATGATGTTCACAGTGGCTGTACCATCTCATCATGAATTTTTAGATAACAGATACTGTGTTGACATTATTATGCCTGTCTAAATATGATTAACAGCTGAACACTGAAAGTTGGCTATAATTTTGCTTCCTCTGTTTGGTTTACCTGAAATTAATAATGGCTTTGTTTTTACATGCTTAGTTTCCTTTGCACCTGTTGCTGATTCTTCCCACATTTTCTGATGGCCTGACAGCACAATTTCCCACAAAGCCAATCGCGTTAAGTAGTCTGTCACTTCTAATGTGTTTACTTGGGGACCAGCTTTCTAGGTTGGTTGCACAGCCATCGTTTGGGGAGTGTCTGTGCCTTCCTCCTCGTCTGGAATCCCTATTTCCTGGATCTCATGGGTTTTTGCTTTGTTGCTTTCTTTCCTCTTATTTATATATATATTTTTGTGGCAGAGGGTCCTATTTTGGTTTATTTTTTCGCTTTGATGGGTGTCTCCTTTGTAAACTTTGTCAAGTGAAAACGAAACACGGCAGTCGGAATGGAGATGCAGCCTGCACCTGCAGTTTGAATCCCCACACTCTTTTCTGCGTTTGCCTTGCCCTTTTTGCGCGAGAGCTCCTCCTTGTGCTGATCTCTCGTCTTCGTGCTTCTCATGTCTTCTTTCTGGATTTACAAACTGCGTTTTATGGGGGACGTCTCTTTGTAGCTTCTTGAAAGCGGATATTTGGAAGGTAATTTTAAAGGCATATTATAGATTTTCATTATTCTATAAATGCTTATTACAATAGTGTAGTAAGGACCGAGAAACATCCTTAATAATAAAAGAGTAATATGCAAAATGACCCTAACGGCAGAATGACCAGGAACAACCGGTCACTATGACGCTCAATGCAGGAGCTGCCCTCTGGTGGTCAGTGTGCTCTCACAGGGCTTATGGCTTCAGCAAGCCTCTCCTGCCTCCTCTGCAGCATTAAGGATGTCTGACTCATGGCTTAGGCCCAATTTCCTGCAGAGTGGGCCTAAGCCAGCATGTGGACATCCTCTGAGGGGTCTGGACAGCAAGAGGGTGAGCAGGTCACGCTGAACAACTCCCCCCCACCCCGAGTGCACGAATTTTTGTGCACTGGATTTCTAGTGGAGATATAAAAGACTGCTTCTGCCCATAGTGAATTTACAGAATAAACGGCAGATAAGAAATCTCTGTAATATAGTTAAAATAAAATTTAAATAAAAATAAAGTCCCAGCCGAAACAGGTTTGGCTCAGTGGATAGAGTGTCGGTCTGCGGACTGAAAGGTCCCAGGTTCGATTCCTGTCAAGGGCATGTACATTGGTTGTGGGCACATCCCCGGTGGGGGGGTTGTGTATGTTTCTAGCTCTCTATCCCTCTCCCTTCCTCTCTGTAAAAAAAAATCAATGAAATATATTAAAAAAAATAAGGTCCCAATCCAAGGATCTCCCCAGGATACAGGTGATTAATTTCTGTATAAAGAGCCATACTGACCTTTAATGTACCCAGAACAAGGAAACCTAATTGGCTGGAGATATTTTGGAGGAGACGGTGGTTACTAACCTTTAAAGGATTGGTAGGATCTTGCTAAGTGGAAGTGGTCGGGATTTATATGTGGATATAAAATTTTATGTGAACATGGAACAGCCACTTTGACCTGAACAGAGTATTGGAGTGAATTTGGGGAAATTAAATTGAATATTAAAATAACCATTTTAATATTGTGGAGGGCACCGTGTCCCAGGAGAAGCAATGTAGATGTGTTCTGCGGGCAACTGAACACTACGGGAGGTTTTTAGGAAGTAAGTGCTGAGATGAGGTCGCTGACATTCCAGAATGTCATATAAATGGGATCATGGTATGCAGCTTTTGTGTCTAGCTTCTTTCACTTAGCACAGTGGTTGGCAAACTCATTAGTCAATAGAGCCAAACATCAACAGTACAATTGAAATGTCTTTTGAGAGCCAAATTTTTCAAACTTCTTCTAATACCACTTCTTCAAAATAGACTCGCCCAGGCCATGGTATTTTGTGGAAGAGCCACACTCAAGGGGCCAAAGAGCCGCATGTGGCTCATGAGCCGCGGTTTGCCAACCACTAACTTAGCAGAACTCACCGGGGATTTCACCCATGTTGTTTCATCTATGAGTAGTTTATTTCCATTACTCAGTATTCCATCATATGCATGTACCCACGATTCAGCATTTAGCACAGGATGACTTTTGGGTTATCATCAGTTTTTGAGCGTTATGAATGAAGCTGCTAAAAACAGTTGCATTTGGGTTTTGTGTGGACACAAAATTTCCATTTTTCTCTGGTAAAATGATTGCTGGATTGTATCTTAAGTGCATGGTTAATGTTAAAAATTGCCAAACTGTTTTTTAAAATGTCTGTACCATTTTCCACCTCTGCTTACATTGTGTGAGAGTTGCAGTTACTCTACATTTTCACCAGCATTTGATGTAGTGTAGTCGTTTTAAAATCCATTCTAATAAGTAGTGATATCCCATTGTGGTCTGAATTTATGTTTCTCTGATGATTAATGATGCTTAACATCTTTTTATATGCTTATTTGCCATCCATATATCTTCTGTTATGATCTGCCTGTTTAAATCTTTTACCCATTTTTTTTAAAAGAATGTGTTTATTGATGTATAAAAAGATATCGGTTCATTATAAATTTAGAGAATGTGGAAAAGTACAAATAAGCAAGTAAACCACCTTAAATTGAATATTAAAATAACCATTTTAATACTGTGTTAACATGCAACTAAGAAGGACAGGTGGGTGGATGATGATGAATGGATGGATGTACAATTAGAAAACATACTTAAATGAGTTGTCATATGTTGCTAAATTTTTTTGCAGGGACACACTGACTCCATCTGCTGCTTTTTTAAAAAATTGT